AAGGTCACTATTCGAGTTTTGTTACCCTTTGGAATTGTAGTAGTTATGTAAAGGGGAAGACAAAGAGGAAAGTGTAAAAAGAAGATAAAAATAGAATTGATAAAATTTAAGGTTGAACTGTCTTCCTTCACTGTTTTTTTTTTCCTGATGATGTAACTAACATTTTCTTTTAAAGTTTTCAGATCTAACAATTTCCTTCCAGTTTTGTTTGAGACAGAAATTAAATCATGTGGAACAGAAAGCTTAGAGAATTTTGAGGAAAAACTGACTACATTTTTAACCAAAAACATTAAAAGTTATTTCTGATTTATGTACAACCCTAGACCATAAATTTTGTTCAGAAAAAGCATGATACCCCATCACCATTGGAGACCACGTGGTACTTAGAAGAATATGACTCTCCCTATTTGCCCATGTGTGAGCATGAAATCCAAACATCAACATCTGCTTTCTTCCTCAATTACTCTCCACATTATCTTTTAGGATGGGTGGACATACTAAACCTGGTGCTTCCCCACTGGCTAGGCTGACTGTCCAATGAACTCTGGGTATCAGCTTGTTTCCAGGCCCCATGCCACGTTAGAGTTACAGGTACACAAAGCACACCTAGCTTTTTAAACATGGAATCTTGGGATCAGAATTCAGGTCCTCATGTTTGTGTGGCAGGCACTTTACCAACTTTGCCAGTACCCTGACCTGGCTCCACTACTTTTAAAGTAGTGGTTTGAAGGTAAGCCTTCATAGCCCATATAATACCTGCTGGTTGAATTGTTCCAATATTCTTTGCTAAAAGAAGATATTCCAGTAAATCCCATTCTCTTTGTCTCTTAAGTGCTTCCAATAAACTTCAATTGATGTGAAGGTCGTTTTTGACATTTACTGGAAAGTTTGATATTTTTCATGATATTACAGAATAACGTTTTATTGTATTGTCATTGTATTTCTAATTTTTTGATTCATCTCTTGCTTACTCATTTAAGTCATCAATGTCTGTTAAAGAGTATCAGTCAACCAGACTGAAAACATTTTTTTTTAAAAAAAAATAGGGGTAGAATATGAAGTAAATTACATTATTTGGTCCTGCATAAAATGTGTTATTTTAAGAACAACCTCTTAAGTTATTTAAATTATCAACTAAAAATATTTATAATCATTTCATAGTCATTTGACCCACAAAGGAGATCAATTCAAATTGTGATGATCACACCTAGGGAGAAAAAGGTAAGTTAAAATATGGCAAATAGTAGATTTATGGGAATAGTCAATGTGTGGTATGAGTAGATTTGTGATAAGTAAATGTGAAAAATTAAATTGTTCCTAATGTAAAAATTGTAATTATGGACTACATGAGTCTGTAATGGACCTGCATTCCTGGATAGGTACCCACAGCTCTACCATATATTAAAAAATCCTTTCCAGTTGCAACATGAAGTAGCTGATACACAGAGAGATATACTCACTTGACAGAATCCAATCTTTCCATAAATGATTAAAAAAATACTTCAGGGTCTGCCAGATCCTGACATATACAGAGGATGCTCACAGCTAACCGTTGAACTGATCATCGGGTTCCCAATGGAGGAGTTAGAGTGAAGACTGAAGGAGCTGAAAGGGTTTGCAGCCCCATGGGGAGAGCAACAATACCAACCAACCAGAGCTCCCAGGGTCTAAACCTTTAGCCTGGGTGCACTTAGGGAGGGATCCATGGCTCAAGCTGTGTAGAGGAGGATGGCCTTGTCAGACATAGGTGGGTGAGGAGATCCTTGGTTCCATGAAGGCTGGATGCCCCAGTGTGGGGGAATTCAAGGGTGGGGAGCTGGGAGTGGGGAGGTGGATGGGGGTACATCCTCATAGAAGCAGGAGGAGGGGGGATGGGATAGGGGGTTTCTGGATGGGGGAGAATGGAGAAAGGGGATAACATCTTAACTGTAAATAAAATATCCAATAAAAATTAATTTAAAAAAAGAAAACTACTTCAGTATGGGCAAATTGTCATTTTTAAAGAATTACATAATCTCTCTGTGACTGTCTTCCCTCGTTGACTTGAAAATTGTACTCATTTGCAGGATGGATGTCATTTGATTTCTTCACTGGTCTTAAGGCCCATGAACTTACCAGCAGTTGACTGCCTCGCAAATGTTTACTTATAAATGAGCATGAATGATCACTTCTTAAGGTAATAAGCAGAGATTGCATTATGCATTGTAAGCATAGTGTTTAATGTCTAGTGGAAGGAAATGTGAATGATAATTAATGTGATGCCCAGATGTCATTCAGAAGTTGTGGATTGAAGAGAGTGTTTAAACCAAGTCAAGCAGGATAATAAAATGACCAGCACTTAAACTAAAAGCTTTAAGACATTCTCACAAAAACAAAGCAATTAATTACATGATCATATCATGCACTAGGAATATGTTTGCAATTTTAAATTCTCTTTTCCACATAAACTGACTTATTCTGTTGATAAAGGGCAGAGGTTTTTTGTTTGTTTTTGTTTGTTTGTTTGTTTGTTTTGTTTTTTTCCTCTTGACAGGCATCAAAACTTTGGCTTCTGGAGCACAGGTGAGTAGTCTGTCAGCAGGGCTACCATGACAGCCTGGGATGGCAAAAGGAGAAAAAAATGGATAAACATTAGCAACAGTCTGCCTTGGGCCCTAAACCAAGAGAATTAGATTTCAGTTTTGCAGGCTTAGAATTTAAAATGTGTTTTCCCAAGGAAAGGATAAGGGAACAGGTCTTAACTAAAACTTATTTTTGTTTAGCTGAAGGAAGGTCCAGAGGAATTAGCCATATCCAAATATTTACATAAACACCATGCTTACTTAAGACTCATTACAGGTCAGAGATTTAAAGTGTGATGCCATGGTACTTGCAATAAGTGGGTTTTCCAGTCATTAGTTGGAACATTGGTACTGGCTGCTTTTAGAGCAATATAATGCCTCCTAACCCAGTTCCCCTTGTTTACTCTGTGGTTTTGCCATTTGAAACCTACAGAAGTTTGAGAAAGCCATACGTAAGTAAAAAATGTAAACCATTCAAGCTAATGAATGCCTCCTCTCTGAATTTTTGTCCCCTGGATAAGAGTATTAGCTTTACAGACAAGAGTACAACTTGGTCTTGGGCAGTTAACCACAAACAGTTATTGTCATTTTTACTTTTCCCAATATCAGTGCTAGGGACAGTAGAAATGTTACCAGAAACAATCAGAGTCATTATACATATATTCACTAATATATATTTATATAATATATATCACTATATATAATATATAATACATAGCATATATAAATTAGTAAATGTATGCATAACCACTATATAATAATATATAAAATATATAATATATAAAGAATATATGTAATTGTATATAATATATAAGTGAATATACTACTATTTATATAGAGTAATATATAATATATTATATGTAGTATTATGTATTAGTGAATATATGTATATATCATATATTATTTTATTATATTAAATATATAACATTTTAATTATAATATTTTAATATTAATATAAATATATTGCATGTTATATGTACTGTATTACATATATATGTGTTAGATATTACATATATATTATGATGTCTAATATATATAATACATATATGATATCACATGTATTGTATACATACATAATATATGCATAAAGAATACATATATACATAATATATATATATAACATATGTATTATAGTATATACATATTATATATATGTACTAAATTGAGTGCTCATTTTGGTACTTGTCAGTATACTAAATAGCATATTATGTGTCAGTCAAAAATATTTGCCCACTACTAGGCTAAATAATTGAATGCGTTAAAAATGACTTCCATGCATTTTCTTATTTAATGAAATGACCTGCTAAGGTGGCTTCCTTCATTATTACTTAGAAACCAAAAGACAGATAGTACAGAAATGGTTCTAAACCTAAATTCTCTAATTTTACTCTTAAGAAGCAGTTTTATTGCCTCTGAGGCAATTCTCTTGCAGTTCAAGCAAGTATCCTGCACTAGTGTCCACAGGCTACAGCAGAAACGCAGTGTTGCATTTCAAAGAAATTCACTGAATACACTTTAAAACTTATTTTGTTATAATTGTGTCCGTCTGTGTGCATCTGTGTGTGAGTATTTGCACATGATTGTAGTTATGTGCCAGTGCCCTCAGAGACCAGGGGAGAGCTCTGGATTTCCCAGAGGTGGAATCAGCAGGTAGTTAGCAGCTTCACTGTGGATGATGGGAACTGAACGCATGTAGAGCAGTATGCACTCCTAATTGAGGCATTCTCTCTCCAGCCCCATGAATGTACTTTTAAACAACTAGCCTGTGCTGAGTGGCTTCTGTGCAACATACCACTTCAAAACATTGTATATTGTATGAAGGGGTAAGCAATACGAATTGGAAACAATAAAGATGAGGTGCAAGTCTTCTGTTTTCGTGATGGTAAGCAGTGGATGCTGACTTGCTTGTCCTGTGAAGCTGACCTCCGTGCTCAGCGGACTCTTATTTCCTTAAATCCTCAAGATCATTCTGAATTTGTTTTAGGCTCAGGTTTTTTTTTTCTTGTGAGTAGATTTGGGTAAATGAAATTAAGGTACTTTTTTCCAAGATCAGGGAATCAAATTTAAACCCTTTTTTTTTTTTGTTAAAGCCTACATTCTCAAACCAGTATCATATATGCCTTCAGAGTGAAAACAAATGCATATCCAGGCTATGATGCCAGCCAGCACTCTACCACTGTAATGCAGCGCATCACGGACACGGTCATGATCATTGTTCTTAGGAGTGATCATTTCCTTTCATTTCAGTGTGAGAACAATGAATAACCAAGAAACAAAATTACAAGGTTTTACTTGTAGACAATAAAATTTTAAAGTGGTTAAAAGGATGCTGGAGCTTGGACAGCCTAAGGAGACCTTGGTAAAGCAGGACACTGTCAAAAAGGACCCCAGGAGGACATTCTGGGGGAAGGGAGGACCATGTAACAGGTAAAACTGTTCAAGTTCTTTTAGGGGTTTACAGGTCTGCATCTGTTTTCCTTTATTGCTCAGAGTCACACATCATGTCAAGCTTAGCTTCACAAAAACAAAATAAACAAACAAAAAGCTAGGAATGGTCAGTTTTGTCAAACAGTCAAAAATTACATTTAAACAATACGCTTTTTTGCTATGAGTATGTTCTAAATAGTGTGCAGAACATACTTATATAAAAGTTGTTTATCTGAAATTGCAATTTAACTGAGCAAACTGTATTTTATATGGTAGTCTTAGCTTGGAGAGGAGTGAATGATTTGGAGTATTATGAATTGTATTTGGAAGGTGTTACATACTTCAGGACCATCCAGATAACAGTGCCGTTAAGTGTAGTATTTGAAAAAGAGGCTCTTTAGGTTACTTTAGTACTATGGGTTAAAAAGATATATACAGAAGGGAAAACTTATCAGTAGTTTTAGAAGTATTGCTTTCTCACTAATCACAGAAAACCACAAAACTAAATTTTCTGGGGAAGAACATGTGTGCTTTTTGTTTCTGTTTTTAAAGAAGATATGTGCACTATGGAGGGAATATTATGTTGGGAGTAGATTTGTTGGAAAGTGTCAAGGGACTCTTACAGCATACTTTTGCTTTAGTGATCTTACACAGGTTAGGAACAGGCTTTCTCTGCATCTTGGAATGTATCTCAGGTGTGGAAGCTAGGTAGTATCTTTTCTTCTTGCTTCTATCCTGATTTTAAATGAAATTATATAGTAGAAAATCATTCCCTAGAGGAGTGCTGTTCACTAGAACTGTCAGCATTGGTAAAAATGCCCTGCCTGTGTTGTCTAATATGGTAGCCATAGCTACGGACAATACAGAACGCTTAATGTGGGGTTTGAAGTTAGTTTGACCAAGGAATTAAATCTCCAATTTTTTAAAGTTTAAGATAAATTTAAGTAGCTATGTGTACCCAGTGGCTCCTGGATTGATAGAACAACTGGAGTATATTCTCCATTTAGAGCATCCTGCAAAATCAAATTATCACATTATCACAGCAGTGCTGAATCTAAAGGCCATTCTGAACAAGCAGAGAATAATTTTATTGCCTTTAAAACATGAATGCAGTCCAGATGACCTCCAAGGTCTCATCCTGCTTGAAAATGCTCCGCACTTAGAAATTGTAACAGGCTGTTTGAGGGATGCATATTACTCTTTTGTATTTGCATTTTGAATCCTGCAATGCTGGGCAAAGAAACTGGCAAAGTTTAGATGCTCAAATCACGTGGTGGAAAGGAAGTGAACTCCAGGAGACCTCCAAATCCTCCAGCACAGGCACAAGGACACAGCCATCGTCTGCCACCTTCTCAGCATTCATGTCAAGAATGTTAATTAATCAGTTATGCCTCTCTTTCTGTTCTACACCACAGAGAGACACAAGATTCCCTTCCACATAGGGTTCAGAGTAGCCTATTGATGACATTCGTGACCTAAGTAAAATTATCCCTCATTTGTAATCTCTGTGACTCAGTGGACTCATTTTTATGGGTGAGTCCACTGAAGGTTGAGACAATTTATCCAAGATGACACAGATGGTTTGTCTTGAAGCCGGTTGGTAGAAGCAGTTTCTTGACAGCCAGTGCAGCATTGTTAGACTCTTTGCAGTCACTTTGGCATAGCCCTCCCTTCGGAATTTCATTACATTATGCTAAGTATTTTTATAATAAGAGTGATCCAAAGCAATGAGCATGGTGAGACCCCAGAGAGACCTAGGTGGATAAAGTGGGCTGTAAAAGTTCCCTGTGTGAATGTATGTTCTTGTAAACATATTAACCACATTGAAACATTATAGATTTAACGTTGGAAGTAAATTTAATTTAAACACCTTGTATAATATGCTTTAAATTTTCAGAAATATAGACTATCTCCACAGTCGAGACTTTAGCATTTTTAAGCATTTCCTCTAGTATTATACAACCTTCCTCAGCAGATTCATTTGGATCATCTTTGGAACTTCAATTGTCCTCTGGTCAAAAATAGAGTTTGAAGGGAAATGTTACTGTCTTTCCCTAAGGTGAATGTTGGAGAACTTCCATTTTCTATTTTACATCATCTAGATCTTTAATGCTTAAAATGTGGTCCACAGGACAATAGCACCTGGATTATCTAGGTTCTCATTAAAAATGTCAAATCTCAAGCCCCATCTCAAAACTAGTCAATCAAACTTTCTCTTAACAAAATACTGAAATGATCACTAAAGTTTCAGAGACTAGCCTAGATAACAGAGCAATTGCAGCTGTAGCTAAAATTAGGCTCCTGCTATTAACTGCATCAGATCGACCCTGAAGAAAATAATTAAGATGCTAATTATCATAATATTTATACTGCATTAGGCGCTACACTAAAATTCTCATGCATTATTTAATGATCACAATGGTCCTATTCTCACTGATAAAGAATGAACAGATAGTCCTTCCAAACTTAGTTTACCATACTATGGTAATTAGAAGCAAATACTACATTTTTTCCAGACTTCCTTTGAAGCTTTAGTAAAAGATTGGTAATAAGTTGCATCTAGTGAATACTTGTATATACAAGTGAACAGCGTGCAATAGAAGCCATTGTCTGAAAAATCGAATCTTCTGTTCCATGTGCATGCAGGTTAAAGTATCTGTTTCAGCTAGTGCATCTGATTTGAGTGGCCCTAGATACCAGCCTGTGGGTGGTTGTAGTTGTAGTTTTTCTGGCTATAAAACATCTACAGTGATTTGGTGTATATTTTTCAGCCTGTCCACCTAGGATGGAGTCTGTTGGATGCAATTATGACTCTGCTAGTACAGTAATTGAGATCAGCTAAATCCCTTTAAAATGGAGGAGCTAACTTATAGCATGTGTATATTCAGTTTTCCATAGACATTTCCCAGTGACTATTGCAAAAACAATAGCATGATAATATTTCTTAGCAGACCAGTGATAAAGATAAACAATGGCTTCATCTGAAAGGGATGAATAACATCTGACATTAGATGTGCCATGAATTTTAGAAATGTTCCATACTTATAAACAAATTTATCTCTATGACCAAACTCAAACAGACTACTACAGTTCTTTGGTTAATGTATCAAGAAAAGAATGAAAAAGGAGAAATCAAATAAAGAAATGCTATTTTTGAATGCCCATTTTATACTAGAACTGAATTAGCAGCTCCAATGAACACAGACAGATTGATAAGAGTAGCTCATGGCAGTAAGAATTTTGATTAAAATTGATGAATTTCGGAGGGGATCAATTTTACTTCATTCAACTGTACTATGAATGCTAATAAGAAACACTGGCGTGTGATCTTCCTGAACAAAAATAGAGATCAGATTGGCAGATGGCTCAGCAGGTAAAGACAACATACTACCAAATCTGAAGACCTGTGTTCGAGCCCCAGGACACACACAGTAAAAGCAAAGAACTGACTCCTGCATAAAACTCATCTTACCTCCAATTGCACACTTTGTTAAGTGTGTGCCACCCACGCACACTCAAAAATAATTAAATTGAATACAGTTTAAAACTGTAAAATAGATGCCAGAAGAGCAATCAGTATAGTTGGACAACATTGGATGTTTATTCTTTACCCCAAAGCATGAATTGCCAAGTTGAAAGCACACTTAGACCTTTTTACCCTTTCATTGCTCCCTTCTTCCTTACCATAATTGTCCACTTTCTGTTTTCTGCCTCTGGGAACACTAACGACCGTGGAGAATAAAACACTTCATCATCCACTTCTTCTGGCTTTCTTGGCAAGCAGTGTAAAAATGTCCAGTCAGACGCAGCCACTTTAGCGGTCTAAAGAGGTGGGGATAAGATCACATTTTAAGTATGAACTCTTAGACATGGCAGTCATATATAGCTTGTTCAGTATGGAATAACACATTCATCCTAGCATGATATATCACTGCAAAGCAAATGGGCAGAGTGAAGTTTTTAGCTGAAGACAGCTAGGATAATTCATCAATCCCTCCGACCTATGGCATTTTGTAGTCACTCTTCTAAATTTGAGAGATCACTCCAAGTTAAACCAGTCAATTTACTTTTCTTATATTCTGCCTAGCAAGGCAATGGACATCTTAATAATGAATCTGGCTAATATGGTAGCAAAAGTTGCCAAAATGCCAAGAAGTTACGTCAATGCGATGGCACTGTACTTTGAGCTGTTTTGCAAATGATGAATTTTGGCATTTGAAGTATACCTTGTCACAAATGAAAATAATTTTGAAGAAAGCAGGGAGGTAGGAGTGCATTAAAAAGGATTCAGAGAGCTCTGCACTGCTTACTTTCTTCCAAATGCAAATGTGCTAGCACTCTCAATTTTCACCCGCAGCAGCTAATTCCCAAAAGTAACACCCCCCCATCCATCTCCGTTTTTCACTTACACATTTAAAACTGCATTGCCTCATACGTTCTTACCTCAAAATTACTGCCTTTGTGCTGAAATTTTATTTCACTTCTAAGTTGAGAATAATTGAGCTTCTAAAGTACTGGCAAATGAGATGGAAAGGAAGTAGCATTTATACCTGTCATATGTCAGGAAAATTATTATTCTTCCAGCTTACAGTACCGGCACCAGAAAATTGCCCAAGCCAAGTATGAGGCAACATGTAAGTTAAAATAGCTCTACCAAATATTTGAAACATATATGACAAAAGATTAACCATGGTGTATAAAAAAACTCATAAAACCAGTGATAAAGGGAAGTGGATAGAAATCAAGTAAAGAGATGATAGAGATATGAAGACATAGAAACATAGAAACGGGATGACCAATCAATATGAAAAATGCTTAGCATGATCAGAAATAAGGCAAATTTTAGAAATCAGAAGATGCCATTTTCTCTTCAATTTACAAGATGTAAAATGTAAATAACAAAGAATGGGGTGTGGGGAGAAAGAACTGTAATTTACAAGTAGAGGGATTTAAACTCTTCATCCTGTTTGAATGGACTTCACTGGTGTTGTTCAAGTGTATAGGACATCAAAGAAAAATTCTTCCTTCAAAAACTTATTCTCTAGTAAAACTTCACAAAGAAATATGAATACGATTGTTCTTTGTAGAATTGTTTGAAATTAAGATTTTTTAAATATATCAATAAGAACCATTGTGGGCAAATCCACTTGCATTTTGGAATTCAAGGTGCAATATTGCAAAGAATAAAATATAGAATAGAGTTTTCCTCTGGAATTGAGTTGTGACTGGTCCCATGAAAGCTGGACACCGAGTGTGGGGGAATTCAAGAGTGGGGAGGTGGGAGTGGGGGGGAAGGTAGGGGGCACATCCTCATAGAAACAGGAGGAGGAGGATGGGATAGGGGGTCCCTGGGTGGGGGGGGGGAATGGGGTAAGGGGGATAACATCTGAAATGTAAATATAATATCTCCCCCAAAAAGAAACATTAGAAAATAAAACTAAAAGCAAGAAATAATATTGCAAGTAGTTATTGGGGTTTTTCTTATGGAAGAAATCTTAAGAAATTATATGCAACTGAAGTAACCCAATGTCCCTGAACTTATGCAGAATAAAGCATTTTGGAATCTCTGTTGTTGTTAGAGAGGGAAAAGCTTGCTCCTCTACAGGCCAGGTTTCAGATTTGTCTATCATAACTGTTTTTTTTTTCTATAGAATATCACTAGTCTTTGGGAGGAGAGAGATTTTGTTGGGTTGCAGAGAATCCTTAATGGGGTATGAAAGGTCAGTTGACTGTCCCTAAAGTGAATGAGTGATGAGGTAGTTCTATAGTTTTTATGAATGAAGTTAATGAACCTTCAGAGAAGCATCAATTTGTACCTTCATTGTAACCTGGTAACCTTGGAAAGCTTGAAGACGTTTTTTCTTCTCATCCTCTTGTCCCATGCTTATCCAAGTATCTGTAATTAATACATTGCCTCCACGTGCTGCTTCCAATGGATCATTTGTCATTGACAACTTGGTACCATTCTAGCACAGAGAAGTTTGCTGGTTAGAAATACAAAAACTTCACGGAACAGAGAAAGACAATTAGAAGATTATAAATAAAAAGCATACCTCCTTGGCATACTGCTCTGCTAGCTTGACTATATTAGGATCTGGCTCATAACCCTGCAAGAAGAAACATTAGCTGCTGTTTAGGTGATTAGTTAGTTTAATTATACATGACACTATTTAATAGCTCTTAGATTTAACAACTATCTAGTACATCTTAAAACAAAACAAGAAAAAGCCCAAGAATAGGCTTTCTCTTCTCTTTTCAAAGACGTGGCTTATCCACATTCAGTAGAGCACATTGAAGCATTCATGGTGTCCTTTGGACTATGTCTTTTTCAGTCATAAAGATAAACAGAGCATGGCACTTTCTACCTCATGACAGACCTCTCCTTGACCCTTTAATGGCACGAGAAGGCTCTATAGATAATTGCATAGCTTAATGCATTTTTAACTATGCCTTTGTACACATGGATCTCTCGCTCTCTTTTTTTGTCCAACATGCTTTTCCTCACTCTTTCCATGGACAAGTTTTGAAATCTCGACTTTAATGACTACTCCACAGAAAAAGTACACTGTAACCACTCCAGCTAAATACCAATGAGCTCCTGACTTACTCTTTTCCCAGCAAGTGAGACTTGCTTTAAAATGTCATTTATACATATGTTTAGAATAGTTTGGTGAGGTAAGCAAGGTGACTATAAGAGGTACCTATTCTTAGGATTCAATGATTTGCCATGCTGAGTGTCTTGCTAACTCATCCTAGTTCCAGCTCTAATGGACATTCTGCAGACAGCTAAAGTAGCTAAAGCTATTGCCACTCTGCCATGAACAGACTCTTTCCACCCTCCTGTCTGTGTAAATTGTTTAGTACCTGCTTCTTATGTCAAAGCTGATTCAGAGCCTCAAGCCTCTCTGCCTATATCTCTTGCTTCCATCTCTTTTAATTCTTCTCAATATACCACCACAGGAAAGCCAACCATCTTCTCATCCCTTTACACATTTTGCCCCTTTCTACAACCCCAGCCTTTCAACCTTGAATATCTCCTCCTGGGTGTCTTCATCAGAACATGTCAGCTCATGAGCTCATAAGCAATTCGTGTCAGTTCAAACCCCACAGCTATACCCACCCTCCTCCATCTTTCTAATGTTTTGAATTCATAGCACCTATTATGAATCAATTTTTTACATTTTCAGTATGGATTTCTGCTGACTGTTTCCACCGCTGTGAGTAATCATGACAAAAGGACTTACTTCTTTAAGTTGCTATGGTGATGTCAGATGGTGGCTTTCATCTGTCTGCCCCCTTTGGACACTGCCTCATTTATAGAAGGTCACCTCACTCAAACAAGCACACTTTTCTAGGTATGGCCCCATATATTCACAGAGTGATTAATAGGAAAATATTAAAACTAGACCCTTTCTGCCCAAGCCCCGGTAGTTCCAAATGACCCGTCCACATACAAAATGCTCTATAGGTCATTTAAGACTGTGTGTGGGTTAGGCCCACATCATGCTCAACTTCTGCCTCTGAACACTCCTGCTGCCTTACCCTGCCCTTTCCCTCCACAGGCATTGATTTCAAGGACATACTGCCATGAGCGTGTTATACATCCTACACACTAAACTCTCAGATTCTGCTTTCTGAGAAACTCAGCTTGTGACAGGCATGCCCAGGTCTGTTCATCTGAAATCTGGCTTCTTAACACATACTTCTCTACCATAGTTATTTTCTCCTCACCAAATTCTGGAGAAAAGAAACTGCCAAGATATTGATTAGGATAGGCTGCAGACATTTTAAAGCAAGCGTTGTTATGTTCAAACTGCCATGAGCTTTTGGAGTCTGGTTTATGGGGTTTGTTGGGGGAGGGGGCGTAATTAATAAAGGTTTGTGAATTTGGAAACTAATACAGTGAACACTCATATAGGAAAACATACATAAAGTGCCATGGATATTACACCAGGCGCCTACTGCTCTGATAATGTAGTCTTGCCTTCAGGGCAGAGGAATTGGACTCTAAGAATAATCCTTCTTAGAGAAGGAATCAATAAGTACTCAGAGAACTGAGAAAGAGGCTTGGAAATTAAAAAATCAGCCAACCTTATCCACCCTGAACTGTGACTTACAAGGCAGAGAGAAATTCTTCACTCACAGCTCAGTTTTCAATATTAAATCACCCATTGGCTTTTACATAAATCTTAGAACCAGATGAAGAAGGTGATTAACAAACCAGTCTAAATATTCACTTAGGACAATGTTAAAATCATCACCATCCATAGCTTATGGAATACTGTTGCAAATCATGGACAAAATAATATTTTTTTGGAACATGTAAGTTATTCTTGGTGGAGGCATGAGGAAATGGATTACTTATGTTTCTTAAATTCACAGTAAATCTAGCTTTATCTTTAAGGCAAATAGTTCTACTAAAAAGAGGAGACTTACAAATTGATGGGCCAATTTCTGCACTCTCAGACTTTACAGCAGTATTTTTAAAAAAAAAAAAACAAAAAAACTTGATCTTACCAAGATTTAAATGGCTTTTGCTATACTTTATCATGTAAATGAGTTTCAGTATATGAACATTATCGAAATTACTCTATAATATTGGAAATTTTCTTTTAATGTTAATAAAACATTTTTTGACATGTAATACAATGTTTAAATAGTGTATTTCTTCAACAGAATGGAGCCATCCCAAAATCTCCTTATAGCAGGGAACAATTATTTTCAAATGCACATTTTCTCTGTAAAAGCAAATGCACTCACATTTTGTCTTACTATGGAGCCTTTCTACAGACTAGAGTTCGAGTGAGAGTGTGCTCAAACATGTCAGAGTTGAGCTTTTTTCCCAGTGCGTGTTAAATGAAAGGAGAAGGAGGATCTGTTGGAAGGTCCATTTCTCTGAGTTACTAAAATTTGCTGTAATAGGTAAGCCTCCAGAACATGCTATTATTGCATGTGCTTGCCATTTGTTCTATAGCATAGCAGGTGCATCTCAGCAAATAATGTCCTTAGACAAGTCATACCCTAGAGGTAGGGGATAACTCAGTGGTAAAGTACTTAGGTAGAATATATGAGGCCCTGGCTTTGATGCCACTGCAACACACACACACACACAACACACACAACACACATCTGTCACTCACACACACAGCACACAGCACACACACACACACCATACACACACACACACACACAACACACATCTGTCTCTCACACACATACTACACAGCACACACACACCACGCACACACACTCACCATACACACACACACCACACATATACACACATACACACACCACACAACCCCCCCCACACACACACACACTGCCTAAAAGGGAACCTCAGGATGTAACTTTATTTGGAAAAAAGGTCTTTGCATATACAAGCATTTAAGCTGAGGCCTTGGTGAGTGAGAGTAAGCCTAAATTAGAAATCTATGGACACAGAATGAAGGTGATAGTAGAAAGGCTTGGAGCAATCCAGGAAGAAGCCAATTAACAATGGAATGAGGCTAGGCTGTGCCAGCACCTAGATCTCAGTCAACATGTTACTGTACTTTCTGAGCCACTCAGTTTGCCCTAATTTGTTCCAGCCTAGGAAACTAAGAGAAAAGGACGCACTGACACCGACTGACTCAGCTACAACATGAGAGAAAATGATTTTATCCACTTATTTGGAATACACCAGGCCATAGAAGTGGTTTCAACACAGAACTTAAGCTTTGTCTTTCTGTTTCAGAAGGCCACTCTGGCTACCAGGCTGCTCTTCTCATTGTAAGTGCCAGAGAACTTGCCACTCCATGTTGACTGATGTCCCTCAGCAGTAACTGTCCAGAAGGATGAAAACCTGCTCTCCTGACTCCAGGCTGGGACAATGCTGAAGCATACCTGACACTCTGGAGCACATTTGGTGTATCAATGTAAGATTCTTTATGTTGGATTGAACATGTCATGGCACTAGGGTGACCAAATCTTCCTGGTTTTCCAAATACTCTTGAAATTTTAGCACTGAATGTTTCTAATCTCAGAAATACCCCAGGTGTAGAGAAATCAAGATGTTTGGTACCTACGAATAGGACCCTTCCTTGATTTTCCCTTTCTCTATTCTCATTCTAGCTCTTCCTTGTGAGTCTCCTAGGCATGGATATGTTAGCAGGAAACTCAACAGTAGACACTGGAACAGACGTGGGGTGGGTGAAACATGCATGAGATACTCAAGGACTGAGTGATTACTATTGGAGAAATCCAGAGAGTCATCTCCATGCTATGTTCCTGGTAGTTGGTAAATAAACACCACAAATTCAAGAAACAGAAACATTGAGAAAAAAAATTGAAGTCCCCCTATATTCATATCAGAATGAGCCACATGAAAAACATCAAATACATGCTTGATGAGAAATATGCTGACAGGACATGTGATCATGGTGAACAGTTGTGTCCTAATGTAAAGGCCAATTCTCTGACCTCAAATCAACACTTAGTTTCAGAAATGGTTTCTACTCAGGAAAATTTCCGTTTTAAAAGACTCCTGTAAGCACATCAGAAGTTAAACAAGAAACATAATGGAGAGAAGAGAACAGTTGATCTGGAGTGTTTAAAACATTCTCAGTAGATCCTTTAGGGTTGGCTGGTGCTTGATTTCCTTGTAGGGCAAATATCTTTCCTAAGTCCCATTTATTCTGCACAGAACAAGGATATCATAATGTAAAACTACTTCTAGGGAGATGCACATGCTTTTATTTTAGTGAATTTATTTATGCATGTATGTTATTAAACAGATCAAACAGCTATGTGTTAAGAAATTCAAGTCATATGAAAGATTATCCCAAGAAGAAGGAGAGGGAGAAGGAGAAGGAGAAGGAGAAGGAGAAGGAGAAGGAGAAGGAGAAGGAGAAGGAGAAGGAGAAGGAGAAGGAGAAG